AATTTGGAGATTTGTATGGGAATGATAGCGATATGTCAAAGAGCAGAATGCAAATGAAGGCAGTAAATGTAAGTGCCCAAGAAAAATGGATGAAATCATAAATGTTGTGAGAATTTTGAAAAAATGGTAATGCTACAGATGTAGAAAGTGCAACTGGAGAAATGTTAAAATACAGGTGTATTTTGTTGATGAAGCATCTGTGTGGTTTATTTAATGCCTATGCTTGATAATTGGAAGGATGACACTATTGTTCTGTTATAAAAAAGGAAATGTAGTGAGTGCAAAAACTGCAGGGAAATTAGTTTAAGTGTACCTGTGAAAGTAGTTGACATATTAAGATGGAAAGGACATGAGAAGTGACCATCAGTAAGATGTGGGAAGTGCAGTGCCGTGCAGACCAGATTTTTGCTCTTCAGTAGGTCATGGGCAATTTTCTAAATATGAGAAGAAAGTTAATTGTTTGCTAATTCAGAAACACTCATGATAAACTGAATAGGCTTGAATTGTAGAATGTTTTGAGTGAAGTTGGAGTTGAAAGTTGGTTGCTGAATGTGATAAAAGTGATATACTGTATGATGGAACTAAAGCACATATGAGAATAACTGGAGGGCTGAGCAAATGATTCAGTACTGTGCAGGATGTAAGGCACAATGTATGATGCCCCCTTGGTTGTTTAACATATTTATGCATACATGTATTAGGAATGCTTGTGTTGAGATCACAGGTGTGTTGGTAAGGGTCATGAATTGCATGTATTTTCTATGCAGACTATGCTGAATTTTTGGATGTGACCCTGAAAGATTTGCAACCAGAATTCGATAGCTAGTATCTGGCTAACAAGGAAGTATGGATCTGAAAAAAAATATATCAGAATTTATATCCATATTTGGAAATAAATTCCTTTGAATTCAGTCAGACTTTCTTGACTTCTTATGTATCGAGTTACACTGATTCTCACATTATTACTTTATCTAATACTCAGTTACAAAATACAGATATGTAATGGAGTTTCACTGGCTTATTTTAAATTTTGCTTAGGGCTTCCACCTTCCTTCCCCAATAGTTGCAATTTTTAAAGGATGACAAGAAATACATTTTTGTCCCCATGTTTAACACCTAATGGAATCAGGGAGAAATTGGAGTGAGTTGTCATTAAACTGCTCAGCATTCTAGGTCTGTATTCTCCTTATTACTATAGCTGTACAGCTCAGTAGCCAAAACCCTTGGGATATTTCACAAAAAAAGATAAAGCCACAAAATTCAAGAATAAAACATAATTTAATTGAAAGTAAATAAATAAAACTTCCATAGCAGGAAAGAAACCTGGTCAGCAAAGAAGAAAAGCTCTTCAAGGAGCTAAAAAGGACTAACACAACATTTGCATATCATCAAATAGCACCTTTCACATTCATCAGCTGCAATCTGTCTTAGATTGGTGTCAATCCCTTCATTATCATTCATGTACTACATGCAGATCATTCAGAGATATAACTCTGATCAATCTTGTTCAATCTAGAGGCCCCTGTATTGAACTATACTTCTCAGAGTCCTTCTTTTACTGGGAATTCTTGGAGCAGTAGTTCCAACACATCTTGGGTTGTCCATGTTGGGAAAAAACTGCATTATACTGTTGACTGGATCTATTGGACTGAACATATTGATTCTTAAACAGTTTTACTGGGTACAAATCTATTTCCAAGCCCAATTTTAACGTAGATTAATGTATGACTTTGGAATTTGGCATCTAAAATGCCACCTATACACATATAAACCTCCTCAAGTAGTAAGCTGAGCTTCTCTATATGCTCCTATTACCTGAAATCAAGCTAGCACGGAAAGTTCGTATCTTGCCTTCTGCCTTTTAATTATACATTCCAATTGAGTAGAATATTGGCTGATGAAGTAGGATAAAAATGTGCGTGTTGACTTGTGATTAGACTGTATTTTAATATCTCCCTGGTGGATATATTTATGAATTTTGTATTTTTAATGAGCTTGGTGTTTTAATCTTACATGGATCATTTGCTTTTAATAAGAGCATGCATTTGTGTCTCATACATAAATCAAAGTGGATATTTAACATATTTCATTTCCTGAACATTCTTTTGGTCATATTTAGGGACACTAAATTTGATGCACTTTAAATATGAAGTAGAGGATCACCTCCAAAAACTTTACTCTGTTTCAATTTTTCCTACATATGGGTCTTTAAATGTTTAGGGGTGGGTCCCTAGACTGGCAAGTAAGAGAGCCTCTATAAATATCAGTGACGGCAGGTACATATTTTTGGGTATTGATAAAAGGATCTCAAGAGTCCTTTTTTGGTACTAAAATATGGCTGAATATGCTTCATATTTTGATCATAGTTTTATATGTATTCTGCAATTATCTGCAGAGGAAGGCCAAATGGCAAACAGCATCATACAAGAACAAATACAATGTCAAGTACCATCATCTCTATTATCCATGCTATACTGGATAGCCAGACTGACGACTTCTTTCCATCACCCTTTGCTTTGGCATAAACTTACATTCCACCAGTCATAAAGATTAAGGGAATTATTTCTTACATCAATTGCCAGCAACTGTTCCACCTTGTTTGGTGGGAACATTGCTCCTCAGTTACATAAATGGAAGATATAACTTGTCCATTTCAGTCTTTCATTCCTATAGTGCTTTGTAAATATAGCTACAGTAGAAGCATAATGCCTTGGTTAGCAATCTCATGAAAAACAGACCCTTTTTAAACTGGGAAGTAATACACATGCATACATGCGCAACTATAAACATAAAATCTATACATCATGCACTGCAGGAGAGACATGGAACAACAACAACAAAAATGGCCATGGATCTGCTTCTGCAGCATATGAGCGAATTTAGCAGAGCAACAATAACTCTGCAACAATCTTGGGTATCAAAGAGTACTTGCTGGCTTGTTCTCATGACCTGTATAATAATAAGTAGATGGATTTGTCTGCCATGCCATGCGCAATTGTTTACAGATTAAACAGAATTTTATACCACATTATTTGCTGCTACCTCCTCATTGTTGTTGTCTTCACATCCTCTCCTCCTCCTCCTCCTCCTCCTCCTCCTCCTCCTTTTAGGACCTTGCTTTATTTTATTCTATTTAACATTTCCATGCTGGGTAGAAGGGCTGATTCTGTCAAATGCCATGTCAAAGTCTAAGAATAAATTAAAATGGCTGTAGGATCTCTCTATCCAAAAGCAAAAGCAGAAGAATAAAAATTCCTCTTACATGATTTATATTCCTAGTAATTTGGATGAGCTTGTAGTATAACAACAAAATTAATGTGTTTTTTTTAAATTTCCAGATGTATCCATTCTCCAAATTTTACTTATGTATCATTATATGTGTTTATGAGCCACAGAGGTTTAATTCCACTATAATGATCAAGCCAAGCTGTTCTTAAGAATTGTTTTTTTCTGGATCAGATTGAAGTCAATTACAATAAGCTACCATTTACTTCCAGGAAACTCATGAATGATGTATAAAAGTGACTGCCTCCTCTTGTTGAGATCTATTATTTCTGAACATGGAATTTCCATGTAGTAGTTACCAATAAGAAGCTGTTGATTTAGAGCTCCTTTTTAAAAGCGATTCAGCAATGCAGCAGTGATCCTGATCTTTCTTTCATCTTTGCTGATCTGAGAAGGTTCAACATTCTCAAAATTATGGACATTATCCCATCTCTTTTCAAATGGAGGCCTTGTTAAATAGAATGGATAATTAACTGTCTATAGAATAAAATAGTCAGTGTCCTATATGTCGGGCAGAGTGACAATCACAAACACTCCTGTTTGTGCAGAGCGCAGCAAAAACTCCAGGAAAATATTAG